GCGACGACGTCAGGCGTGGGGCTAGTTCTTGGAGGGCAGCAGTCTGTCGTACTTACTGGTCACTGTGACTCCTCTTACGCTGACGACGCTGAGACTCACAGGTCTACTCAGGGTTACTGTTTCAGCCTGGGTTCTGGAGCTGTTTCCTGGCGGTCCACGCGCTCCTCTTCGGTCTCGACCTCTACAGCTGAGGCTGAGATCTACGCTGGTGCCATGGCGGCACAGGAGCTGCGTTGGTTGACCTTCTTGCTCACCGACCTTGGTGAGCGGCCGAGCTCTGCACCGACCTTGTTTACTGACAACAAGGCGTCTATTCTCCTTTGTCGAGAGCCACGACTGGAGAGCAGAGTGAAGCACAACTGCAGACATCTTCACCAAGGCGCTTCCGCCTTGTGACCACCAGAGGTGCTGTGTGCAGTTAGGCCTTGTTGACACTGGTTCTCGTGTTGCTTAGACTTGAGTGTACTGTTTACTTTGCTTTCTATATACCTCTGTTACTTCTTGGACTGGCCTTGTGGCCACTGTTGTTTGTGCTCAGACTGTGTGGTGACGTTGTGATCCACCCTGAGCTTCGTTTCTTGGACTGGTCTTGTGACCGTACTCGTTTGGTTCTGCTAGACACCCCTCACTTAGGCTATGGGGGTGTGTCAAATGTTGTAGCCTATAGTGAGGTTTGTCTTAGGGGGTACAAAACTTAGGGTTAGCTATATGTACCCCAACCAACATCAATGCATCATCCATTCCTCATTTTGACAATTACAACATTCTCGTCCAACTAAAACAACACATAGAGATCAATTAGGGGGGGTGGGGGGGAAGCGGAACTGTAAAGTTCCAAAATGAAGACGTGGGTGGAGGCCAAATGGCCTCCAACCCTCGTTATGTACTCGGAAATTTGCATTTGCAGTTGCCTTGCTTCACTACAGTCAGCTGCGCTTTCAAAATAATCATTTTTAGAAAGTGTTTTACACTTTCAAAAAATTCATATTGAGAAAGCTTGCTTCTGTTTCTTGCAAGGCAACGTGCTTCATTTCAATTGGGTCTTCTGAGACATGTGCGTCCGTGGACGAAGTGTGGATGGCGGAGCCAGTTGATAGCGATGTCCAGTGAGATTGGCTGTCAGTGACGGTCGTTGCAGTCACGTCGACGATGTTATTCGAGTTGCTCCTTCCTTGAGATAGATGTCTGTGCCGAGGGTTGTCGGTAGGGTGGGGGACTGTGGTTTGAAGTGATTTTTGTGATGTCACGTGAGGTGGAGAAGGTGGTTATTTAAGATGGCCCATCTGTCACGTATTAGGTTGCCAGTGTTGCGTAAAGATTTATGGCACTATTTCCGCGCTCTTTGGAGAATATTGTGTTGTAAGAGTATCTTAGGCAAGATAGTAGGAACCCTAGGTATGGCGAGAGTTAGGAACGAGAGTCGAGGGAGAGGCCAAAAGAGGATGATTCAATATTGAGCGAGGGTACAAATAGGAGAGAACAAACAAGAAAGGTGCACCACCAAATAGGAAAACGTTATAACTACAGTATTCTACACTACAGGCAGTCCATCTGTCACGTATTAGGTTGCCAGTGTTGCGTAAAGATTTATGGCACTATTTCCGCGCTCTTTGAGAATATTGTGTTGTAAGAGTATCTTAGGCAAGATAGTAGGAACCCTAGGTATGGCGAGAGTTAGGAACGAGAGTCGAGAGAGAAGGCCAAAAGAGGATGATTCAAATTGAGCGAGGGTACAAATAGGAGAGAACAAACAAGAAAGGTGCACCACCAAATAGGAAAACGTTATAACTACAGTATTCTACACTACAGGCAGTTATAGAACAATATATAGAATTATATATTATTCTGACACGCCCCCATAAGTGCCTGTAGGAAGAATGTGCAATCAACGCCCCCATAATGGGGTACACCAGACAGAGTGCAGCGGAAGAAACAGTGGCAGGCAAAAGCACTGATAGCCGATGCAGAAGTGGCAGATACAGCTGTAGCACACCCTTAGCCAAGGCAGAAACAAAAGCAGGTGTAGGGGCGGCAGGTCGCCTGAGGAGCAGGCTCTGTGGCTGCAACGTGCAGCAGGACAGCAGCGGCTCGACGGCAGCACCTGCAGGCCCCAGCAGCAGGCAACAGAAGCAAAGGCAGCAAAGGCAGGTGCGGCGGGGCGGCAGCTGGATGTGCCACGGTAGCAGCGGGACGGCAGCAGCAGATGCCCGGCTGACTTCCGCCACCCTCTCTCACCCCCCCCCCCACTGCTGCTCACGCAGCAGTGAGAGAGAGAGGAGTAAGGGCGGCTGCTGGCTCGACATAATCTCTCTCGCCACCCCCTCACACTCCCCGATTCCCCATAGCGACAGGCGCTGCAGGGAGAGAGAGGAGAGAGGAGGGCGGCGGCCGGTTCCTGCGGGTACACTCCCGCCACCCCTGCACCCTCCCCCCACAGCGACAGTCGCGTATGGGGCGATAAAGGGCGACTGCAGGCGCTGCTGGCGTCTCACAGCGTCCATCCCGTCACACCGCCTCCCCTGATGTCCGCCACGCCACGACCTCCCCCCGCAGCAGGAGCGCGCACGGCAGCAGCAAGTGCGACAGTTGCAGCAAGACCGGGGGAGGGTGGGCGGGGACAGTTGCTCGGACACGACGAGCGGGACAGAGGGCCGTAACGAAGGCGCGACGAAGCTGCGACGGGGCAGCGTGGCTGCGAACGACGGGGCGACGAGGCAGCGCGACGAGTAGAGCGCCGCCTTCGCCCCGTCGATCGCGCTGACGATCAGGACCGTCGCGGATTTCGACGCGACGGTCATTGTGGCGGCACGATTGCAGCAGAAACTCGTCGGGAGGGAGGGCCGCCATGCTAGGGTCGAAAAGCGGTGGGCCCGTTGATCGGAAACTAGCTCGATACCATGTTGTAAGAGTATCTTAGGCAAGATAGTAGGAACCCTAGGTATGGCGAGAGTTAGGAACGAGAGTCGAGAGAGAAGGCCAAAAGAGGATGATTCAATATTGAGCGAGGGTACAAATAGGAGAGAACAAACAAGAAAGGTGCACCACCAAATAGGAAAACGTTATAACTACAGTATTCTACACTACAGGCAGTTATAGAACAATATATAGATCATATATTATTCTGACATATTGAGGTGCATGGTCATGAGCTGATACTGTAGCAGTCATGAAACCGAAGGCGACGGACCAAATTTCGAGTAAAGGGTGCCATTTGGCTACGTCAATAACTGATGCGGTGGTGGTGTGCTTGACATATAAAGCTAGACAACGTCGTAGCAGATGTGTGCAACACGATACATTGCAAATCTGTCCAGGGTGCATCATAACCTTGTATGAATGAGGGCGTTAAGTCACAGATGAAGGCGCGTAATGAGTAACCTATCGTAGTTGCGATTGCACCCCTAAGACATAGGAATGGAAGGGCCCAGAATCGTATATCATCATGGTGGAGCGGTCAACTACGCCGACCAGAGCGGTACGGCTTGCCTCGTTTGCAAGATTTGTAGAACCAAAGAAATGCGGGTTCATAAAAATAATGTCGCATAACAATACGCATTGTAAGAGAGCTTGAGGAGATGCCTCCAATCGCGGGTTACTAGCCCTATCAATTGCTCATCTCTTGGCCCGTCGGTTGCTCATCGCTCGGCCCGTCAGTCGCCCATCTCTTGGTACGTCGGTTGCTCGTACCCTGGCCCGTCAGTTGCTCGTCACTCGGCCCATCGGTTGCTCATCTCTTGGGTTGTCGGTTGCTCATCTCTTGGCTGATCGGTTGCTCGTCCCTTGGCCGGTCAGTTGCTCATTGCTTGGCCCGTTGGTTGCTCATCGCTTGACCCGTCAGTTGCTCATCGCTTGGCCCGTCCGTTGCTCATCGCTTTGCCCATTAGTTGCTCATCTCTTGGCCCGTCGGTTGCTCATCTCTTGGCCGGTCGGTTGCTCATCTCTTGACCCGTCGGCTGCTCATCTCTTGGCCTATTGGTTCCTCATCGCTTGGCCCCTCGGTTGCTCATCCCTTGGCCGGTTGATTGCTCATCCCTTGGCCTGTCGGTTGCTCATCGCTTGGCTCGTCGGTTGCTCATCTCTTGGTTCGTCAGTTGCTCAGCCCCTGGCCTGTTGGTTGCTCATCTCTTGACCCGTCGGTTGCTCATCGCTTGGCCCGTCAGTTGCTCATCTCTTGGTTCGTCGATTGCTTATCTCTTGGTTCGTTGGTTGCTCATCCCTTGGCCAGTTAATTGCTCATTCATTGGCCTGCCGATTGCTCATTGCTTGGCCCGTCAATTGCTCATCCCTTGGTGCGTCGGTTGCTCATCCCTTGGCCGGTTGATTGCTCATCCCTTGCCCTGTTGGTTGCTCATCTCTTGGCCCATCGGTTATTCTTCTCTTGATACGTTGGTTGCTCATCCCTTTGGCCGATTGATTGCTCATCCCTTGGCCTGTCGGTTGCTCATCGCTTGGCACGTCGGTTGCTCATCTCTTGGCCCATCGATTGCTCATCCCTTGGCCCCTTGGTTGCTCATCTCTGACCGATGTCGTATTATGACAACCAGTAAAAAAAAAAGACAACACGTTTGCCTTGGCTGCCCTGCCACATTACGTTACGGCAGTCCCGTAATTCAACACAAGTATTGTTGAAGCACGAACAATCACAATGGAATGCCATCGATCCCATACGGTATCCTTTCCGTGTGACCGAAAGGTGTGAATAATGGTCGAAATACACTCCCTCCCCTCCTCCCTCAGTTGCGTACAGGTGGTTTCACCCTACCAATCTTCCCACAGTCAGTCGAATCATTGTATGTGGCTCCAACATCCTATTGGGGCAAGAAAATCTTATGATTTTTTTTTTTCACACTATATTCATGTCCTAGACAAATAGCCAATGGTACCTACATATCAACAAACACAGTACATAGTTGGGGTTTTCCACATCTCAGCTTTAGTACGCACATCCCCGCTTTCTAAAAAGGTAACTTGTCTGGCCAGCGTACCTTCGTAGGTACTACCTACACCCGGATCTTGACCCCTTTGCCCCATAGGGAACGGCTCTCAGGCCAACTCGGGGACCCTCGGTCCCCTTCCCCCCCTGGGGGACGGCTCTCAGGCCAACTCGGGGACCCTCGGTCCCCTTCCCCCCTGGGGGCGGCTCTCAGGCCAACTCGGGGACCCTCGGTCCCCTTTCCCCCCCTGGGGGCGGCTCTTGGTCCCCTCTTTTCGATGCGCGTGAAGTTGATCCTGTCGGCGTTGCTATTTTTCCGCGCGACTAGCAGAGTCCGACTCCAATCAGCGGCTTTTCCATCTTGTGCCCGCTTTTCTGCCATAAGGGAGTGTCGAGATTGATAGGCAATGAGAGAAGAAATTAGAACTGGAAAGAAGAAAAAAGAAAATGAAAAGAACTTTGCAACAATTTATATGCAGCTTAAACAATTTGTGATGTGACATGGGGTGCTGCACTGGTGGTTGACGCCGTCAAACGCCTTAGGCGCGGCAGTGGCAGTTTCTTGACTGCCGCGCCACTGCCCATTTCGTCCGTGGCGATTTCGCCACAGACGCGCGCCACTGGCGCAAGTGGCGATTTCGCCACACACGCGCGCCAGTGGCGCAAGTGGCGATTTCGCCACACACGCGCGCCAGTGGCGCAAGTGGCGATTTCGCCACACACGCGCGCCAGTGGCGCAAGTGGCGATTTCGTCAAAATCTTACGCCACTGGCGCACGTGGCAATTTCGTCACTGATGCGCAGCTCTTTCTCGGTTGTGCGCACGCCAGGTGCATCGCGGACGAGATGCTGTACTGTACCCTCCGCAGTTAACGCGCGTAGCAGCTACTAAGTTACGTCGCTGCTGCAGCACTTGTCCTAGCGTTGTTTCTGTACTAAAAATAAGTGGGAATTAAGAATGAGTGAGAACAGAAGTGGTTGGACGAGAATGAAGCGGAACTGTAAAGTTCCGAAATGAAGACGTGGGTGGAGGCCAAATGGCCTCCAACCCTCGTTATGTACTCGGAAATTTGCATTTGCAGTTGCCTTGCTTCACTACAGTCAGCTGCGCTTTCAAAATAATCATTTTTAATCATTTTTAAATTCATTTCCTTTCATCATCAAAACATAAACAGGACGGGCTCGCACAACGCTTCCTCCCCAATGGCCTCCTTTACAACTCACCCCAAGACGGTGGGGTTGGTGCAATCGCCCCATCTACCCAAATCAAAGCCCTCACTATCCAGCGTGCACTACGCAGATTTGGACCCACACCATCCGAGGAAGTCACAAGGACCCTGACCCCGTTCCCCTTCGGGCTACATGGTCTGCTCTCCCATAAAGCCATCCTTGAATGAGACTATCTTCCATCCTTCATTCCCCCTCGGGCACGGGAGGAACTTAAAACCCTCCTTGCTCTTCCCCTGGTCATTCATGGCCCACCCCTACGCATGCAATGCATCCTTACCGGACCTCTCGCCTTCAACCAGTTGCTCCTCAAACCCGACGGGCGACCTTTCGGCACCCGCCAACACGAGCGATTCCTGCTTACACGACAGCTCCGCATCGGACACATTGTCCGAATCACCAACTTCGACGTCAGCCCTATCTCGGCTCAGGATTTCTGCTCCCAGCTCCCGGAGGAATTTTACGACGACGCCACACGCCTCCTCCAAGACCTCATCGAGGCTATCAAGCCGCCCTGGTGGGCCGGCCTTCGATCCCCTCACCCCTCCTCTGCCTCCCCTGGAGATTGGTTCATGCCCTCGGATGACCATTACTCCATATCTCACCTCGCTGTCCAGGTCGTCGCTTTCATCCCCCCTTCTACCGTCTCGGCTACTGTCCACCCCGTCTCGCCCGACCATCGCATAGGCCATACCCCAATCAATACCGGACTCTTCCGCTTACAAGACCTCATTGAGGTGTATGTCAGGGAATGGTGGCTCGCAGGGCCACTTCACACAGGGCAGGGTTAGGAGCTAGGGTAGAACTTCTACAGGACGGCATCCCCAGCCTCGCCGACATCCGCCGTCTCCTCTACTCCACACAGTCGCTTACTCACCACAGCCGATGGACCCGGGACCTCACCATTCCTCCTCCCCCTCTCCCTGGCCTTAAAGACCCCTTTCTCAAAGACCAGCCGAGCCGCCAACGTGATATCCTCTTCAGACTCTACACACTAACTCTCCCCTCTAGATCTCGCTTCCAATAATTTTACGACCGAGGGGTTTGTCCCCGATGCCCTGCTGCTGTTGTAGAGACATTGCCGCATATCTTCTTTGAATGCGCCTCCGCTGGAAATGTCACCTCTGCTCTGCGCACAGTCGCCGACCGTCACCTCGGACAAACCGCCCCCACCGAACACATCTTCTTCCCGCTCCAATCACGGGTCGGACAGTCTCCCCCATGGAGCCTACTAGTAGGCGCAACAGTCAAGACGCTGTGGAACAGCCACTGTGACCACAGGTACCGCAACTCCTCCTCCTCGAGCTTTGAGATAATGCAGCTCATCTTAGCCCAGTTCCTCACCGCCTTCAAAATCTACATGTGGAGAGGCAAACGCCAATCGGCCAAGAAGCGTCAACGTATATCATCCAGCATTAAACGAGCACAGAGACTCCGCTTCCTCTGCTTTGACAGGGCCGGCACACCCTATATCCACCCCGACCTAAGGTTCTCCTGGCTCTTGGGAAACTCGTTCCGACCACCATAGTCATCCATCGCATAGAGCGTCTCCCCAGGCAGCTGGCGGTTGTCCGAGAGGACAAGGAATAACGTGTGTTCCACGTGCTCCACTGCGGATGCTGGCCACCTCGGCCATGTTTCTAGACTGCTCTATGGATTACACTTTGTACTTTGATTACGATCAATATATAACCTTAACCTTAACCAAAAGGTTGGGTTGGGTAAAATTATTGGTCCCCTCCAATAATGTTGGCCCAACCCCAACTTGGCCAACATTTTTTGGCCCCACCAATAATCACCCAAACCCAACTTCTTGGTTGGGGTCCAATAATGCCAACCTAGGTTAGCATCCAACCCCCTACTATGTATACCCTTGTCATTCTCAATCCAAGCATCAACTTCTTTCAGTTCTCAAGTCATCCTTAACAGGATTTTAACATGAACGGACTCTGAATCAGACTCCAAAGTCTGATATCCAGGGCCCTGGTGGGCCGAACCTGTCCCCCTTGAACCTGTCCCTGTCCACCAAACCAACCCACCCTGGTTTGTTTTGGCCTCGACAGTTTGGTAGTTCGCGGTGTTTTTTTGCACCCACTCGTCAAACATTTTGTTTTCGTTACCCAATCACAGTCGGGCAAACCCAACCAAGTGTTAAATGGTAGGAAATCTGAGACGCGAGCTTTAAATAACAAAATAGGGTGGTATCATTAATGAGTGAATGTGAGGTGCGATACGGGCTTGGCGCCGAGGTTGGAGTAGGGAAAAGAGATAATTTGACTTAAGCAATCCAGAAGTTCGATAATATAGTAGTATCGGAGTAGTTCTATATCTATGTGTTATTGTAGCAAGTGTCTCTTTGCATAAGTTACAGGTAGTAGTGCGAACAGTCAGTAACATAGAAAAGTGACTCTTTAGGATTTGACTCGGTAAAAGCCTCATCCACGAACAGGTATATCATCGAATAGGTACTTCTCTAGGCGATTCATTCTTGTATTCTTTCTTTATTATTCGAGTCTTGTTCTTACCGTTATATCAGTATAGGAATTCAAATCTTCTGGTGCAACATATCTTAGAGATTATACTATACAAAGATCATAAGGCTATTTATTCAGCCCAACATGGTACGAGAGAAGGAGAGTTTACAATCTTCTAGATTCTACAAATTCTCGGTCATCAAAATCATTATTAGAGCAAACTTACATCCATGACAGATAGTAACAACGGAAAACCCCACTATCATAGTGCTGGTGGTGGTTCAAACACCACCACTGCCTGGTTTTGGTTTTACAGGAGTGACCTTTGCCAGCCCTTCTCCAACAGCTGTATCAGCAACTGGACTAGGAAGCGTTGAAGGATCATCCCTGTCCTTCAGGTTCAACGCTGCAACAGGAGATGGTACCGCTACAAGCCATGGTGCAGCAGGCCTTGATTCTGTAATACAACAACAGGTGTATCAAGCCATGTTAGCGTTCATGGCACAACAAGCACAATAATCTTCATCAACGGTGAACATGGGGATGACATCAATGAGAGTTGATGTGACATATTATATGCAACAACAACCAATCTCTTACCGTGCTCCACCCCAACAATAGTCGCGGATGACTGACGCGTTTGTACCACGAAGTGCACCTGCTCAGCAACAACAACAGCAACAAGATGGAAACATGCTTGGAGCAAACGACGCAACTTATTTTTTAATGCAGATGCTGAATTTTCTGAAGTTTCAAACCTCAAAACAGACACACACACACATACACACACACACACACACACACATACACATACACACACATACACACACACACACACATACACACACACACACATACACATACACACACACACACACACAAAAGAAAGAAATGCAAAGATTGTTTGCTTTAACATTGTATAATAAGGTAAAACAATAGAAAGAGATGCATAGATTGTTTGATTTGTCATTGTATTTCTCCAATTTGTTTGTTTTTTTTTTTTCAATCTCAAATATAGGAAGGATGACATGTTCTTCTTATTTTTTGTTTATTTGTTTCAGGAATGATTAATGCATTAAAAAAAATCAGCTCCAATCGATTACAATAGGTTGCTCCACAACTCCGGAAAAAAAAAAAATTTCGTATGCTTAGTTTTCTAATAATGGTTAGTATGCCTATCAAGAAGCACATAAGCTCACAAGGATTACCTCACTGTTCAGAATGCAAATTTCGCATGTGAAAGAAGGGGGTGTAATCAATTTACATCAACATTGATTTGGGGGGAAAATTCGTGAACATAAAGACACAAAATTCGGACTTAGTCCTCCCTATTCAGGAACCACATTATCCAATATGTTAGTTCTTTGATTTTCACACTATTCAAGAATTTATTGGTCTGTGTTGAGATATGAACATTAATGAGAAGGCATTCTTGAACGATACACAAGCCCACTCTACCAAGTATGATGTCGACTAGTCAGAAGAATCGAAGCGAGACCAGCAACCATCAGATCAAGGCCGATGCAGGCATAAACATGTGAAGCGAACAAGGCAGGAACAGGTTTGAAATGGGTTCTCGTGCCGCACGATTCGAATTCGCTGTAATAGAACCGCTTTGAACCGTGTTCTTCGCACGGTTTGAATTTGGTGCGACATGATGCTGAGCAGATCAGATGCACAAGGAGGCATGGGGAATGCATTGTGCAATACGTGTTGTGCAGTGCTATGGGCTACGGGTGGCATGAAATACATGCTGGCATGCTGTAACGCCTATGCGACTGAAAGATGGGCATGGATCGATAGGAGAAGCAGCGCAGTAGGGAGAGGGTTGGAGCAGGGCGCACCAAAAGGCAGGGATCCAGTCAAGTGCAGTGGAGTAGAGAAGGAGCTTATTGCAGCGCAGCGCCAGCATAGCGGAGGGCATGGAGTACTGCAGGAGCACGTCCGTTACAATCACACTCGCGTTCAGCACGGTGTGCTGCAGGAACGCCCGCAGGCCCCCCAGCGCCAGCAGCTCCTCCCTCGCATGCCCCGCCCCGATGCTGCTGCCACCACTGCTGCCCTGCGATGAGTCTGAGTCCGTGTCGCTGCCACCACCACCGCTCTCCTCCTCCTTCCCTCCTCCATCGCCCCCC